AGCGCGTTACAATAGTTTGTAGTTCAGCGGCTGTGTCATCAACAGGGAACTGTTGATAGGCCTGTGACATGTCTAATTTCACGAAAATGGTTCCCGGCTCAAAAGAATGTAGTAGCTGCTGGATAACAGGGACTGGATAAGCGCTGATTTGTAAATATTTATTCAATGACACCTTGTAATCTGCGCAGATTCTTATGCTACCATCTTTCTTCAGGGGTGTCACTATTGGGGTTTCCCATTTTGTGAAGTCCACAGGCTCTAATACACCCTGTTTAATTAATTTGTCAAGCTCCATGTATAATTTGGGGCGGATTGCAAAAGGTAACCTTCGAGGCTTTAAACGGATTGGTACTGCCTGAGGGTCCAAGTTGAAAGATATTGGGGTTCCTGAATAACGGCCCAGCCCCTCGCTGAACACATCAGCATAGTCATTAAACAAGGTGTCCACTTCAGCATTTGTAATAGAGTGTATTCTGCAGGGAACCAGTCTAACCCCAAAAGGCTAGGGAGGGCACCATCCACTACCACTAAAGGCAAGTGACCTTTAAAATTTTGAAATTGAACAAAAAACTTGCCTTTTCCGATGACTGGGATGGTTCTGCCTTGGTAGTCATGTAGGGTTAACTGGCAGCCGTGAAGCTTCTTCTTAGCCATTCTGGGAAGTAGTTGTTTCAAGGTGCTCCATGAGATGATGGACAGTGCTGAGCCTGTGTCAACCTCCATCCTGCAAACACTGATTTTGTTAGAGCCTTTGTTAGTCAGCTTGGCTTGATAGCAGGTAAAACAGTCTTCATCTTGTTTTTGGAAATGTTGGGTTGTCTGAGGCTTTTGGGCGAAAGTCTTTCCTGCTTGACAGATCCTGGCTAAATGACCCTTCCTCTGGCATTTTAGACAAATGGCATTCCTGAACTTGCAGGATGCCCTGAGGTGGCTTCCCCCACAGCTTAGACTATTGGGCTGAGGCCGTGGAGGTAGATTGGGGTTTGACCTGTTTTCCCTTTGACTGGTTTTTTGCTGCCTGAGGCGATTTACATCATTAGCCTCTTCATAGCCTTCTTCTGTGGAGGCTTCATCATAATGGATGGCTGAGCTGCTCTGGCTAATTGGATTTCCCTGAATTTCTGCTGCTGAAAGTGCTGATAGTTCAGCAGCTTGAGACTCTTCAATTGCTAATTTAAGGGTTAAATCTCCTTTAGCCAATAGACGCTTTTGTAGCCTTAAATCCCTGACTCCACAAACTAGTCGGTCTAATAACATGTCTTCCAGATAGTCTCTAAACCCAAAATGCAAGGCAGCTGTTCGTAGGGCAGCCATGTACCCACTAATAGTCTCTCCCTCAGTCTGAATCTGTCTCCTAAAAGCATGACGCCTGGCAATTCGGGATGGGCTTAGGGGAATAATGGTTGGAAAGAATTTCCTGCAATTCTTCCCATGGAACAGTCTTAATTGAACGTGGAGCCAATAATGCCGTAGCAGTGTCAAACACTGTGGCTCCGCAAAAACTTAAAAAGTAGGACTTTTTCCTATGGTCGGAAATGTCAGCGAGGTCTATGGCATCTAGGAAACAGTCAAATCAGTTTCTGCAGGATTCCCATGTTTCTGCTGTCGGTCTGAAAGGCGGGAATGCAGGTTTCGAAGTCATCTCAACTCAGCGGTGCCGGATCTTCCGAGGAAAGTTGAAATTCGCGCTCGCGAATAGTGACAGTAAGCTCTTAAAGTGACATTCTGCTCGGTAGTGACTTCGGCTCTTTTTTGTAGTGACTTCGCTTAGCGATACTTTGCCCAGTTGCCTCTTATATGTATCCCGCCCTCGTCGCCAGTGTTGTAGAGTGGCGGAATAACCTGAGGCGAACACGGAGCGAACTTCAGCTTTTACTTTATTGTAACAATAAAGGTTTGCCGCGGCTGCTGCGCTAACAAGGCAGCCAGCTGGCGGACAACAGCTGATGCCATTTGACAGCTCCCTTTTATAGCCGGCTGTCAAACGGCATCAGCCAATAAGAACGGTCCATGTTCCTGCTGGAAACACGGACCGGAGTGAAGACTTCAGCTCAGTCTTTTCCGAACGCCACACTGCTGTTGATAATGGGTACCTATCGGACAGATACTGTTTAAAGACTCTCTTTTACAACATTGGAAGCAGTGAAAAGGTTGCGCTAATTTTTTTAATTATTATGTTTGAAGGTTTTGGATAGAGATGACAGATGAGTAAAATAAGTATATATTTTCAGTGGAAAGCAATGTTCTCCTTTGAATCTGTTTTCAATTATCTTAATGGCCTCCCTACAGCTGTTAATACTCAAAATACAAAATGCATGAAGTTCAATAGTATTTCCCCTAACAATATGTTTCTTTATTTTCTGTACTTCTCCAAGTTCTGCATATTTCCAAAGTCCTTTGATCCATTCTTTTTGTACTGTGATCTTCACTAGTTTGAATCTTTATTCTTTGCCCCTTACTTGAAAACACTGGCAAGAAAGGTGTTATTTTTCTTTTAAGCTGCATGCAAGGCAGAAATACAGCACAGAATGTGAGAACAAAATGACAACTCTATTAAATTTACTTACACTGAGTGGGGTGGGGGTGGGGGGGAGGACAAGAACAAGATGCAAATCTTGGTGCTAATTAACTTCTTTTCAAGGTTTGCAGAGTGTCTGCTCTGCTTTACTTTCCAAAAGCTATATTTATCTCGGTGGATAACTCTGTCATTTGCAGATGAATTCTGAATTTCATTTAATTTGCCTCTGTATCCTAATGGCTGAAGAGAAACTTAACACCTTAAATGTCCTAACTCATCGTATCTTATTTTCTTTCACACGTTTCGGATGCATAAGGCCACTTTGTGTAGGATTAAAAAGGTGTTTATTTGGTGGTTCTTGTTGTAAAGTTTTCTCCCTTAGTATCTCTCAGCTCACTTGTTATCATGCCCCTGTCAGAGTCTGAATCCGGGGAGGAAGCCCAACAGGGAATGGGAGTGTGGCTCCGTTGGCTGTGGAGGAGACTGAGGAAGGGCACAGTCTGGCTGGTCAGAGCTGGGAAGACAGTTTATTAGAAAGGCAGGCTGCACGTGGCACGTTGTTGGGAGCAAACGTGACTTTATCCTGTGTTGTCTTTGCTTATCGGTGTTTCTGGCGTCTTCCCAACCCTGTGAGTTTTGCCATGCCTTCAAGTCTGAAATTCTTGTTCCTGCCCTGCCAAATTAATTACTTCAGTTTGGCTTGTTTGGGCTTAATTTTCTGCAATCTAAGGCTGTTCCTGGGAGAGTTTTTCTCCAGCCAGAAGGTAACCTGGGCACTGGGGGGCAAAGTTGGAGATAATAAAGGGACTCTTATTGATTATCTGTCTGTGTTGCCTTTGTGCCACGCCCCAGGTCATCACATTTGCTGTGGGAGCAATGTTGAGATTAGAACCACCTGAATAGCTCCTTTTATACTGCAGGATCCAATCTGGGTTGGTTGTTGGGACCAGCGTTTTAGTCTTCCAAGTTTTTGGACTCGTGCCGGATCCCATCCTCAGGGAACTTCTCTCTAGCAGCGTTTGTGCTTTAGGCTGTTCTGTGTGGGGTATTTATATGGTGCCTGGTTGTGTGGGTGGTTTTCTAGTTGTTGATTGGTGGTGTTGATGACCAGCTGTTAAATTGTTGGCTGTTGTTTCCTTGGGCTGCCAAGCTCTCAAATCCTAAATACTTGATAAGAGGGCAGTAAATGGACAAGAAACAATGGATGAAAACTAATCAGAGAGAGAAGCAACCTAGAACTGTTGGAAGAATTATCCTTCTGGGTTCAGTTCCAAGTGGGGAAGAAAGACACTGGAAACATGGAGGCTGTTTGGAAAGATGGTTTAATGGTGGACAGGATCACATGCTTTGGTGCTCTTGAGTGAAAAGTGAAGAGATGCCGAGAGTGCCTGGGTTTTATGCCCTCTGTTGGGATTTGAATTTGGGCTTGTATTCTGATTGGTTGTCAGACTCCCATGGGGCCATGCAGGGGCAACTCTGTAGGCTCTGTTCTACTCTACTCTACTCTACTCTACTCTACTCTACTCTACTCTACTCTACTCTACT